ATGGCTGGGGCAGCTCCCTGGGAGGCCCCCTCAGACACCCTGGAGCCCGGCCTGGCTCCAGGCAGTGACTTTGGCCACACCTGCAGTGTGGGCACACACAGGACTGGTGCCCCTGGCTGAGCGGCCTCTCCTGGTCCTGCATTCCTCAGGAGACACGGCTGGGCGCCCGGCCTGGTAGGGGCTTCACAAACATCCCAGCAGGATGGAGAAGGGACTGGGTTGTGGCGTCCACGCCCACCACAGGCACTGCCTTGCTCTCGCTGTCTCTGTCTCTCTCCCATGAGTGCACGCGCCCTCTGGCTAAAGAGGAAAAGGCAAGGGGCCAGAGGGTGGCAGGCTGCCTGTGCGAGGGCCAGGGAGGGGCTGGTCGTGCTGCCTCTGAGGTCGAGAGGCCGAGCACCTTGTTCCAGAGGAGGGGACAGAGTGGTGCGGGCTCCCGACTGCCTGCCCTTCCTGGTACAGCCGCGTTAATCCCCCACCCTCCCCCACCCCGCCGCTGGCCCAGTTTTGAGATCACGGGTGCACATGGCGGACACAGCAGGGCCATCCCAGAGCGGGGAGACCTCAGCTGGACTCCGTTTTCCCACTGGGAAGAGAGGGGAGTGACGGCCCATGCCCGTGGGGCCACAAGAGTCCCAAGGTGACTTAGTCGCGCGCTGGCCGGGCAGCAGGCAGCCCCACTAGTGTCCACAGGGCTGAGACCACGCCGGGGCAGGAACAGCCAGGACAAGGGACTGGCGGTGACCGGGGCACTCGGCCTGCACAGAGCTGCCGCAGAGACGGGGACCCAGGAGACCTCCCCTGCCGCCGCCCCCAGAGTGGCGCTTCCCCGTCTAAGGCCACCCCTGACCTGCCGCCCTGCTGCTGCTGGGCCTCCAGGTGTCCGCTGCCGCCAGTGAGGCGCACTGCGAAGGCCTTCCCGGCCAGCCAGACGCTGCTAGGGGAGGCCAGATCGGCTAGGACAGGGCGCAGCACACCGCGCAGGGTCGGCGCTGCGCGGGCCCGCACAGCCTCTGACCGCGGTGCGACGCGCTGCCCCTCCCTCGGCAGTTCCCAGGCCCGGACGTCTGGTCCCCTGTGCTGACAGTGCTGCCACTCGGGGCCGCACCCTGCGTGTTAGCGCCCGGACCCGCTCGCTGCTGACGTGGGCGCGTTCTCTGTTTCTCCTTTGCCTCCCAGACACTAAAGTCTATGCTGCCCTGGGAAACCATGACTTTCACCCCAAAAACCAGTTCCCCGCCGGGAGCAGCGACATCTACACTCGGGTGGCAGAGCTGTGGAGCCCCTGGCTGAGCAACGAGTCCATGGCTCTCTTCAAAGAAGGTACCGGCACGCCGGCCGCTGCGGGGGCTCTCCCTGACCTCGTCCTCACAGAGAAAGTGGGTCCTGAGCAATACTGCTCTTTCCCCGCCCCCGAGCTGTGCCACCAAGGCACCCCGAGACCAGGACCGCACAGGTGAGGGCCGACTCGGCCGGGCCCGCGCCACGCCGGTGCCCCAGCATGCGCGATGACCTGGCCGTGCCCGCTGTCTGCACCCCCGACTCTGATAGCCCAAGGAGCAGCATCCACAGGCTTCCAGCTCAGCCGCCACCTCGGCGGAGGCCCTCGAGGAGCTGTCCCGTGCAGCAAGGGGCATTCAGCAGCATTGCTGCCCCCGAGATGCCCGTACCCCCGACCCAATATCTGCAGACATGGCCACAAGTGACTGGGGGGCCCGAATGGCCACTGACTGGCATCGGCCAGCACGGAGACCCTGGCCCTCCTCTGGTCCTCCCGTGGCCTCCTGCTGGGCCTTGCATGCACAACCAGCCTGGCGAGGCCGAGGCCTGGCAGCGGGTCTGGGCAGGCAGATGGCTCAGTTACTCCTTTACGCAGACGGCGAGACAGGCACTAGCACCGCCGTTGCTCCGAGCCGCACAGCCAGGCAGTGGGAGGGCCGGATCTAAGCCCAAGAGGCCCGGCCCAGGCCTTTGGTCTCACCCAGGGGCTCTCCTGAGGACGGGGTGAGTGGGGAGTGGAGCGAGTCCGGCCACAGCTGGCCCTGCAGCCCTCCCTGGCATGTCGTCCTAGGTGCTTTCTACACGGAGCAGCTACCGGGGCTCGGCAGGGCGGGCCGGGTCCTGGTGCTCAACACCAACCTGCACTACAGCGCCAACGCGCAGACGGCTGGCATGGCTGATCCTGGCGGCCAGCTCGAGTGGCTGGACGGTGTGCTGACCCAGGCGGCCCACGCCGGGGAGAAGGTGAGTGCTCCCTGCACGGCCTTGGCCACTCCTCAGCCTCCCAGGGGCCTTGGAACCCTCCCAAGAGGCCTGCCGGTCACCAGCTGTTCCCAGCACGGGGGTCCTTGGCTGGCCCGTGGGAGTGCCCTCCTTCCTGGGCACCTCTACCCGCCCCCGCCCCCACCACCAGGGAGTGCCCAGAGGCTCAAGGGGCAGGGATGGACCCGGCCTCCAGACCCTGGTCTGTGCACACCCCTTCCACCGCCACCACCCCTCGGCTGCAGCCCACACTGTGCGGAGGCCTGGAGGGCACCCCTTGACGTCTGTGCCTCACTCCATGGGCGGGCGGCCCTCAGGGATGGCCCAGTCACAGAGGTCTGTGTCCTGCTAGCCCGACTTGTCCCAGAGAGTCTTGCTGTGCCTTGTCCCACGGTAGTGCCTGCTGCATGGAGCCCCTTCACATAGTCCCCTCCATGTAGTTCGTCCCCCGTGTGCCCCCCCATGTGCCCCGTCCCGTGCAGTCCCACGTGCACCCCCTCTGTGCATCCCCGTGTGTCCCCCGTGCAGTCCCCCCGTGTGCCCTGTCCCGTGCAATCCCCTGTGTGCCCCCTTTGTGCAGTTCCCCATGCACCCCCTGTGCAGTACCCCTTTGCGCCCCCTCTGTGCAGTACCCCTGTGTGCCCCCTGTGCAGTCCCCCCGTGTGCCCTGTCCTGTGCAGTCCCCCATGTGCCCTGTCCCATGCAGTCCTGTGTGCCCTGTCCCGTGTAGTGCCCCTGTGTGCCCTGTCCCATGCAGTCCCCCCGTGTGCCCTGTCCTGTGCAGTCCCCCATGTGCCCTGTCCCATGCAGTCCTGTGTGCCCTGTCCCGTGTAGTGCCCCTGTGTGCCCTGTCCCATGCAGTCCCCCCGTGTGCCCTGTCCTGTGCAGTCCTCAGAGCCTGTGTGGTGCTCCCCTTTGCTGGAGGGTGTGCACTCGGGTCCACCTTGGGGTGTCGTCAGCGGACATGGCAGTGGCAAAGAGACAGGACCCAGGCGTGGCGAGCTGGGAAGGCTGTGTGCCAGCACCGGGCACAGGGAGGTGGGAAGGAGGGCCCGGCGTACCCGGGCACGGCACGGAAGGCCACACTTGGGCGGGTGGCCAGCTTGCCCGGCCCCTCTGTAGGTGTACATCTCAGGCCACGTCCCCCCTGGGTTCTTCGAGAAGACGCGGAACAAGGCCTGGTTCCGGGAGGACTTGAACGAGCAGTACCTGCAGCTGGTCCGGAAGCACCACCAAGTCATAGCCGGGCAGTTCTTCGGGCACCACCACACCGACAGCTTCCGTCTGTTCTACGACCAGGCAGGTACTCGCCCAGGGCCTGCGCCCTGCAGCCCCGCGCCCTGCAGCCCCACACCCCACGCCCCGCAGTCTCTCAGCCCGCTCTCTCCTGGAAGGCGCCCCCATCAGTGCCATGTTCCTCACGCCGGGCGTCTCCCCATGGAAGACCACACTACCTGGGGTGGCCAATGGAGCCAACAACCCAGGCATCCGGGTGTTCGAGTATGACCGAGCCACGCTGAGCCTGCAGGTTAGGAGCCCTGGGTCTCCCGACCGTGGAGGGGCTGGAGGGCCCTGAGCACGCGCGGCCAGCCTGACTCTCACCTGGGCCCCCACCAGCCCGCGCCCCGGCGCTAGCCCGACTTGTCCCAGAGAGTCTTGCTGTGCCTTGTCCCACGGTAGTGCCTGCTGCATGGAGCCCCTTCACATAGTCCCCTCCATGTAGTTCGTCCCCCGTGTGCCCCCCCATGTGCCCCGTCCCGTGCAGTCCCACGTGCACCCCCTCTGTGCATCCCCGTGTGTCCCCCGTGCAGTCCCCCCGTGTGCCCTGTCCCGTGCAATCCCCTGTGTGCCCCCTTTGTGCAGTTCCCCATGCACCCCCTGTGCAGTACCCCTTTGCGCCCCCTCTGTGCAGTACCCCTGTGTGCCCCCTGTGCAGTCCCCCCGTGTGCCCTGTCCTGTGCAATCCCCTGTGTGCCCCCTCCGTGCAGTTCCCCATGCACCCCCTGTGCAGTACCCCTTTGCGCCCCCTCTGTGCAGTACCCCTGTGTGCCCCCTGTGCAGTCCCCCCGTGTGCCCTGTCCTGTGCAATCCCCTGTGTGCCCCCTCCGTGCAGTTCCCCATGCACCCCCTGTGCAGTACCCCTTTGCGCCCCCTCTGTGCAGTACCCCTGTGTGCCCCCTGTGCAGTCCCCCCGTGTGCCCTGTCCTGTGCAGTCCCCCATGTGCCCTGTCCCATGCAGTCCTGTGTGCCCTGTCCCGTGTAGTGCCCCTGTGTGCCCTGTCCCATGCAGTCCCCCCGTGTGCCCTGTCCTGTGCAGTCCTCAGAGCCTGTGTGGTGCTCCCCTTTGCTGGAGGGTGTGCACTCGGGTCCACCTTGGGGTGTCGTCAGCGGACATGGCAGTGGCAAAGAGACAGGACCCAGGCGTGGCGAGCTGGGAAGGCTGTGTGCCAGCACCGGGCACAGGGAGGTGGGAAGGAGGGCCCGGCGTACCCGGGCACGGCACGGAAGGCCACACTTGGGCGGGTGGCCAGCTTGCCCGGCCCCTCTGTAGGTGTACATCTCAGGCCACGTCCCCCCTGGGTTCTTCGAGAAGACGCGGAACAAGGCCTGGTTCCGGGAGGACTTGAACGAGCAGTACCTGCAGCTGGTCCGGAAGCACCACCAAGTCATAGCCGGGCAGTTCTTCGGGCACCACCACACCGACAGCTTCCGTCTGTTCTACGACCAGGCAGGTACTCGCCCAGGGCCTGCGCCCTGCAGCCCCGCGCCCTGCAGCCCCACACCCCACGCCCCGCAGTCTCTCAGCCCGCTCTCTCCTGGAAGGCGCCCCCATCAGTGCCATGTTCCTCACGCCGGGCGTCTCCCCATGGAAGACCACACTACCTGGGGTGGCCAATGGAGCCAACAACCCAGGCATCCGGGTGTTCGAGTATGACCGAGCCACGCTGAGCCTGCAGGTTAGGAGCCCTGGGTCTCCCGACCGTGGAGGGGCTGGAGGGCCCTGAGCACGCGCGGCCAGCCTGACTCTCAGCTGGGCCCCCACCAGCCTGGGCCCAGGCTCAGATTCAAGCCGTTGTGGCCCCGCTTCCTTTTGCCCCGGGTCCCTGCCACAGCCCCGCCCCCCAGCCACGCACTGCAGGAGGCCGGGCCCCTCCAGAGCAGTGCTGTCATCTCATCTCTTGCTCACAACCTTCAGTGGCTCCCCAGTGCCCTCAAGATAAAGTTGGACCTTCTCGGCTTGGTATTCGAGAGTGCCCAGTTCAGCTTCGAGCCCACGCCCGCCTCTTCCCGCCAGACCCACGCTCCAGCCTCTACCCACTGAGCCGCCCCTCACCCTCAGAGTAGGGTCACGGCTGCCAACACGGCAATAAGTTCGCCCCTCACTCACTCAACGGGACGCACTTAGTGAGAGCGAGAGGACACGGGGACAGGATGGTGGCCCTGGGCCGAGGTGGCAGGCACAGGGAAGGCGAGGACTGTGCCAGCCGGAGCAGCAGAGCGACGTGTCTGTTTATGAGAGATTTTTGCTGTAGGGCACGTGAGCTTGACAGAGAGGCGCGGATGGCGGGAGTCTGGCCTCCTGTGTGCCCTGCACCCAGAGGGCTGGCAGAGGGGTGGCAGGCAGACAGGCCCCCGTCCAGCCCACGTCTGTGCTCAGTCCCTTCCAGGCAGCGAGTCAGACAGGCCTCGGTTCAAAGCCCAGTACTGCCGCTAACTAGCTTTTCAGCGTATTTGCCTGCACGACTTCAAGTGGGAGTTCAGGGTCTGGGAGCCGCGCAATCTGGCTCTGCAGCTGGAAGCAATGCTTGTGCGACCCGAAACAGGTCCCCAAGTGCAACTGGAGGTGCGGCCCTCGCCTTCACCATCCAGTCCTGCAGAGGCTCCGCTGGCTTGGGGTGGGTGCCGAGCCCCTCCTGCAGTGCCGTCATGCCCCGACAAGGTGGCGGCTGGCAGAGTGCGGTCCCTCTGCTCCTGTAAGACCCACAGGCCGGGTGCTGGAGCCTGCTGGGACAGGCACACAGGCCGCGGGCGGCTGCCCTAGGCCCCCTCTGCCCCCACAGCTCCTGGCCCTGGCCAAGCCAGTTCACCTCTTTTGGCCTGTGTCCCCACGGTGACCCCACGAAGGGGAAGGTGTGTGCTCCCAGCTGATGTCCAGCCGGGCAGACTCCGCAGCGGAGTCAGCTGCTCAGGGCCACCTCTGTGCCCTCTCCAGGACATGGTGACCTACTTCATGAACCTGAGCCAGGCGAACGCACAGGGGACTCCGCGCTGGGAGCTCGAGTACCGGCTGACCCAGGCCTACGGGGTGCGCGATGCGAGCGCCCGCTCCATGCACGAGGCGCTGGGCCGCATCACCGGCAACCGGGACGCGCTGCAGCGCTACTTCGTCTACAACTCGGTGGGCTACGATGCCGGGGCCTGCGACGAGCGCTGCCGCACCGAGCACGTGTGTGCCATGCGCCACGTGGCTTTCGCCGCCTACTACGCCTGCCTGGGCTCCACCGACCCCGCGTCCCGGCCGGCGCCCGCGCCCTGGCTGCTGCTGCTGCTGCTGCTGCTGGCGCTGCAGGCTGTGCTCGTCCGCTGCCCTGATGGCGTCGCCGCGGCCTCCCGGGCGCCCTCCGCCCCGCGGTCGCCCCGGACAGCCGGACTCTGTGGGGAGTGAGGGGGCGGGGGCGAGGCCCGGCCCGCAAGCATGCCTCTCTCGGGATTACCCACAAGAACGACGCCCGGCCTGCCTGCCCGTGTTATTCTTTGCGGGGCTCGTGATCGGTCCGCCGCGGCCCTGGGGACACCAGGCGGGGGACGCGCCTGTGGGCCCCGTGCACGAGGGGGCCTGGGCAGAAGCCAGCCGTCCCAGGCCCTGGGCGAGGGCGGCCTTGGGGCTGAGGCACCCCAGAGCAGGGGCGGGGTGGCTCCAAGGCAGGGCTGGCCCGGGGCGTGCAGGCTGCTCCTCCCCGGACGGGGCGGGACGGGAAGGCCCGCCCAGCAGCTCCGGCCGCTACCTCCTTCCTACTGCCGAGAACCTGCCGCCGAGGCGTGCTGGGCACCGCCGCCTTCCTGCTGGACCTGGGCGCCGAACGGTGGGCCGCCGGCCAGTACGCGCTGGGAGGGCGCTACCTCTGGGCCGCGCTGGCGTTGGCGCTGCTGGGCCTCGCCTCGGCCGCCCTGCAGCTCTTCAGCTGGCTGTGGCTGCGCGCCGACCCCGCTGGCCTGCACCCCTGGCAGCCCCCTGGCCGCTGCCTGGCGCTGCTGCACCTGTTGCAGCTCGGCTTCCTGTACAGGTGAGGCCACTGCCAGGGGCAGGGGGCCCAGACCAGGAGGCACCCGGCCTGCGGGAGGGCTGGGGCGCGGGGAGCCCTGGCGCACCTGGCTTGTAGAGCGCCCAACCCTGTAAAGGAAGGCAACCCAGCCTCTGACCTCCCGTGCCACGTGCAGCACGCTGCGGTGGCTCGAGTCAGAGCCTGGTGTTCCCAGGAGGTGCAGTCCCACAGTGAGAAGCGCCACTGGGGCTGGACCCAGAGAGGAAGGATGTTGGAGCTGGGCCTTTCAGCGTGGGCAGGGCCTGCTGCAGGTCACCCTCCCGTCTCAGCCCAGCCCTAGCTCCCCGGGGGTGGGCAGCAGTGGCCTCTGCAGCTGCCCTGCGCGAGCACTCTTCTTGATGGAGTTCCAGCAGCCCCTGAAGTGCAGAGCAGTCCTGTCCCTCAGCCCGAGGCCTGCACCCCTCTCTCTTCTGACCCCCAGAGCACCGAGAGGGCAGAGGTGGGTCTGTCTCGGCCATGCCTGGGCCCAGCCAGTGTGCATCCGTGCACTTTCAGAGCTGGCCCAACCCAGACAGGAGGCCCAGCCTCAGCATCACCGCTGGAGCTGGGTGGGTGGCCGGGGTCTCTGCCTGGCAGTGCTGTCACACACGGTCCCACTGTCCCACCTCCTTGGGGGGTTGGGTGGGGGGTGCCCTGGCAGGGAGGCGGTCCTGGGCATATGACGAATGCATGTGCAGTGAGATCTGCCCTGTGCCTCAGGCCGGATGGCCATCCCTGGCTCATCCCTGCCCCGGCCCTGCCTGCCGTCAGGCCGGGGAGCTCTCCCTTGGCACGGCCCACCCTTGTCTGGCCACGCTCCAGGCACCCCAGTTCTCAGGCACGCTGAACTTTGCCACTTGCCTCAGCAATTTATAGGTCTTGGGGTACGGACAGGGCTTGGTGGCAGTCCCAGTCCTGCCACTCGCCGCCGCCCGCGGGCGGGCCCCCGCGTCCGGGTGCGGGGGCGCCGCCCCGCCCCTGCCACTCGCAGCTGCTCGCGGCTGTTCCCCGGTGACGGGCTCTGGAGCAGGAAGCGGGCCGGGGCCTGCCAGCCAGAGGAGGCGCTGTCTTTCTCCCCGTTTTCCAGGCGGGGACATGCCGGGGTTAGGTTGCCTGCCCACAGCCCGCCGGTGAGCCGCAGTGAGGCCGGGCCGTCTGCAGCCCAGCGGCGGGACACTCAGGGCCCCTGGTCACCCAGGTGCATGCAGGCGCTGCGGCAGGGTCTGCTGGTGTGGCAGCAGGAGGCGCCCTCGGAGTTCGACCTGGCCTACGCCGACTTCCTCTCCCTGGACGTCAGCATGCTGCGCCTGTTCGAGACCTTCCTGGAGACGACGCCGCAGCTCACGCTGGTGCTGGCCATCATCCTGCACACCGGCCGGGCCGAGTGCTACCAGTGTGAGTGCGCCGGCCTGCCCCACCCGGCCACTCGGGGCGGGCGCAGGCTCTCGGGTTCTTCCGTGGGGCGAGCCTACCAGACGCCCCACCTTGCGAGGCTGACGCGGGGGAAGCACGGTGCCTGGAACATGAGGAGTTGTTTTTAATTCTTAGAGGATGGGTTACTCGACTGAGACAGAGAGACAGGGACAGGGCAGACTGGGGTGGGGTGTGGCCGCAGCGAAGCCCTCCTCCACTTTCCCATCCTGTCCGGATTTGGAACACACACACGCACGCACGGCAATTTTTTTCAAGCTGTTGTGGTTCGGTGGCCCTGTGGGACCCGGTTCCCTAACCACTAGGCCACTGGGCTGCCCAGTGCATCTTAGCCGGGACCCACTGTTGGGAAGAGAGGGAAGTGTGGGCGCTTGAGGCCTCCCAGACCGTGGTGAGGACAGTGTGAGCCAGGCGACCGCCTCTCTTGGCTGTAGTCCCTGCTGGGTGGCCAGGCTGCCATCAGGTGGTCACAGTGTGGCAGGTGGGGTGATCGGAAAGGGCAGGGGCTGGTGACAGACTGACAGGGCCCCATAAACCACAGAAGTTGGCACAGCGAGGAACCTGTGGAGGGTTTTGCCCGTAAGAAGGAAGTCACAGCCCAGCCGGTGGCCTCTGTAGGACACCAGCCCCCATCCACTCGGGCGAGGGCTTCCCTTTGCCTTCCCCGCCTGTACATGCCGCCCTGGCTGTGCTGCCTCCACGCAGCCAGGCCTGTGCCTGTGGAGGGCCTCGCCATAGCAGCCCTGCACGTGGGGCTGGCTCCGGGACTCGGGTGGCTGCGGGGCCCCTGGAGGGCGGGGGCGTGGCGGCCCAAGCCAGCACTGCAGGAGTGCACGGGCCAGTGTGTGGCCCGACGCTCCGCTACTGTGAGACTGCCCGCTCGACAAAGGGAGCTTCTCGAACTGAGGACGGGGCCCACAGCCCTGGCCCTCAGCCCGCCACTCACTGTCTGCTCTGGCTCCACAGGGGTTGGCGTTGGCACGTCCCTCGTGGGCATCGCGTGGGCACTGCTGGACTACCACCGGGCCCTGCGCACCTGCCTCCCTGCCCGGCCCCTCCTGGGCCTGGGCTCCTCCGTGGTCTACTTCCTGTGGAACCTGCTGCTGCTGTGGCCGCGCGTGGCGGCCGTGGCCCTGTTCTCCGCGCTCTTCCCCCGCGTCGTGGCCCTGCACTTCCTGGGCCTGTGGCTGGTGCTGCTCTCCTGGGTGTGGCTCCAAGGCACGGACTTCATGCCAGACCCCCGCTCCGAGTGGCTGTACCGGGCCACGGTGGCCACCATCCTCTACTTCTCCTGGTTCAACGTGGCTGAGGGCCGCACCCGAGGCCGGGCCACCATCCACCTGGCCTTCCTCCTGAGTGACAGCGCTCTCCTGGCGGCCACCTGGGCGACTCAGGACGCCGGGCTGTCCACTGGGGTCTCAGCACAGGTGTGGCTGCCTATGGGAGGCGCCTGCTTCCTCCTGGGGCTGGCCCTGCGGCTGGCCTACTACCACTGGCTGCATCCGCACTGCCGCCCGGAGTCCGACTGTGTGGACGGGGCCCGGAGCCTCCCTGCCCCGGGGCGGGCTCAGCTGCCCCAGAACCGGCGCCTGGCCCACTTGGCCCGGAGGTTTTTCCTCACGGCTAAGGAGGAGGCTGCCCTGCTGGAGACCGGAGAGGCCAACGGTGTCCTTTAAGGCAGAGTCAGACCTCCAGGGGGCAGGAGGGTGGCGAGGGCGGGGGTCAGTGCACCCGGTTCCCTCTGTGAGGGCGGAGTGCCTCATCTGTGCCAGCTCAGAGACCGCGCTGAGCAGGACGGCCTGCCTCCAGGGGCCACCGGCAGGGCGGGGGCGGGCTGGGCCTGGGTCAGGGCCCTGCGATGTGCTCGCTGCTCCGGGCAGAGAGGCGAGGGCCCCGTGTTGCCCCAGCAGCACGGCCGCAGGGAGCCCAGTGTGCCCTGACGGTGCCCTCCGCGCGGCCCACTCGGAAGCAAGGGGGGCGGCACAGTCCCCCCTTGGTCGCCCTGGCCGGGGCTGGGAGGCGCTGGGACTCCCAGCCATCCTCTGGGCCATCCTTCACTGCCCACCCCTTCCACCAACAAATATTTATTGGGAGGTTTTTTCTTTTTAAATTAAAACATTCTTTTGCCATAGGGCACACGCACTGCTGGAGAGAGACAAAAAGAACATGAGAAAGCACCCTGGGGGATGGGCCTGCCACTGTCCCTTCTCCCTCCTCCCAGGTGGGTGGGCACGGGCTCATACAGGCTGTGTGTCCTGAGATTTTCAAGACTCTGGGTCTGGGACTTGAACCATGCAGTCAGCCATGTGAGACATAGCTGCCTTAACCCCCACGCCACCTGCTGGCCTGAGCGCCTTGTTCTAGGTCTCTTCCGTGAGCGAGTGAGCGTGGCCGAGGCGGCTCCAGTGCTGTGCTGCCCCGGCTGCGGGCCCCCCATGGTGTGTGCATCCTGGTTGCAAGCCGGGCCTTCCCAGGTGCGGCCGGCGGAGTGCTGTGCCACTGCCCACCCCCCACGGCGTGTCCTTGGAGCCTGGCACGAGGCCACCTGCCGCCCGACCAGCCCTGGGCGGGGTCATCGGCATGGAGGCCAGTGGTGCCCAGCTCGGGGCGCAGCAGCCCTCCGAGTCCTACTGTAGCCGACCTGGCCTCTGCTCCAGCCCCGATGGCCGCCTTTCTGCCAAGTGCCTTGGGAACCTGCACCCACATCTGGGGTGTTGGTTGACTCCTGACCCCATACGAGGGGGTGTGTACACGTCTCCGTGCAAGATGCGTGTGCTCTTCGCCAGGGTTGAGACCTCCTGAAACCCTCCAGCCGGACGCGTCAGTGAACGCAGTCCACAGGGTGCTGAGCCCGTGAAGCAGGGTTGGGCATGGGCCACCCTTCCAACTGGCCGAGGCCCTGGCACACGGAAGGGGCTGCCTTGGTGAGGCCGCCCGGCCACCTGCAGGTCTCAGAAGCCGGTGAGCCAGGCACTGGGCGTTCTCACCGGCTGCGCCGGACAGGAGGGAGGGTCTTGGCTGGGAGCTTTGAGGGTGCAGGACAAGGTGGCTTTAGGGAGGTCTGTGAGCCAGAGAACGGGAACAGAAGAGGTTGCCCATGGAGGACAAGTAAGGGGACCCAGGAGCTCGGTGTCAAGTGCTGAGAAAAACAGAGCGGGGGACAGGGACACACCGTAAGCTCTAAAGGGAAGGGAGAGCCAGCCTCATCCCGCAGAGGAGGCTGTGCCGACTACAGGGTGGCCACGGGTGCTGCGAGGGGCGGACCTGGTGGCAGGGCCTGCTCTGAGGGCCTAGGTCCCAGGAGCCCCAAGAAGGGCATGCAGCACTGCTGTTGGCTGAGCCCGGGTGAACAGGGATGGAGACTGGGGCCAGGCCGGCTCTGGCAGGGGTGCAACTGACTTCCACACAGTCATGGCAGAAGGGACTCAGACCAGCCTAGTGACTTCCAGACGATTTCGTGGGCCAGTAAAATACCCCAAATGGTTGCAATTTGACAGAAGGGACACTGGACCCTGGACCCTACCCCCATCTGTGACTGTCATTGTTTCTTAGAGCGCCAGCCACCTCGGGAGAGACCTTGCTGGGGGCAGGGAGGGGAAGGAGTGTGAGCCGGTGTGCCCCCGTGGGAGTCATTCTCTCCACGGGCATGTCCAAGTGCACGCGGCACACGGCTGGACTCACTGTCTCTCCACTCAGCGAACGCTGAGACCCCAGACCTATGGTCACAGGCCTGCCCCTAAAAATCCCAGGGCTGGGGCCAGTACCTGGAGTAGCAGTTACGTCGCTGGACTCCACATGGCCAACTGTGGTTCAGGTCCTGAACCTGGCGGTTGGAAACTCCCCAGGCAAGTGTCCGTGTGTGCCCGAGATCCCGGGGAGAGGACAGAAAAGAAGGGGTTGCGGGCGCCGTCCCCGTGGGATCTATCACTTCCCTCATTTTCCTCACGCTGGCTCCTTTCTAGCCAGCACACGTCCTGAGGCGAAAACCTCTTAGCAAGAGAAAGAAGAAATCCTGGGCCCAGGGCCCCCAGCCTGGGGTGATCTTAGGAACGGGGTCCCCAGGGTGTGGTGGCCAGGATGCTGGGCTTCTGCGTGGCCGAGGTCTGCCTCCCAGGCGTGCGCGTGCGAGGCGGATGGAGCAGGCTGCGGCACGGCCATCCTCGTGCCTCCTCTCTTACTGGCACGCGCACGCCCTCTGGCAAAACCTAAAACAAATCATTCATTCATTCAATAATTTTCACTCACCCAGAGAAAGACAGTCCTACAGAGAGAAGGAAAGTGAGAAAGCAAGCCACCAGGTCTGGGACTTGGAACAAAGTTTTTTGGGTTTTTTTTTTGAGAGTTTTTTTTTTGTTATAGGGTAATGTGCACTCACCAAAAAGAGACAGAAAGACAGAGACTGAGAAATCACCCTCCCAGGGGGGTGGCCATGCCTTGATCCCTTCTCCTCTATTCTCTCGGGATGTTGGGCACACATTCGCCCGGCATGAGGTTTTTTTTTTTGAGAGATTTTTCCTACAGGGTGCGTGCACTCGCCAAAGACAGAGAGAGACAGAGAGACAGAAAGCAGGAAATCACCCCCTGGGGGGATGGTCACGCCGCAATCCCTTCTCTTCCATTCTCCTCTCGGGATCTTGGGCACGCACGCACACGCGCCCAGCGTGAGTTTAAGCCGCCGGGTCCCGGACTCGAACCGTGGTCGACTACATGGGAGTCCAGTGACATAGTCATTACGCTAACTGCTGGTCCCCGCCCGGCATGAGTTTAAGCCACCGGGTCCAGTGCTTGAACCGAGGTCGACTACATGGGAATCCAGCGACATAGCCATCAGGCCAACTGCTGGTTCTAGATTTTTCTCTTTTTTTGAGAGACAGGCTTTTGCTATAGGACATGTGCACTTACAGAGAGGCAGACAGAAATCACCCAAGAGGATGGCCACACTGCAATCCCTTCTCCATTCTCCTTTTGGGGTCTTAGGCAAGAACACGCACGTACCCAGTTGTGAGTTTTAAGCTGCTGGGTCTGGGAGGCAAAACTCGTCGACCATGTGGGAATCCAGCCACATAACTGTTACGCCATCTGCTGGTCCCCCAGATTGGGAATCCAGCCACATAACTGTTAGGCCATCTGCTGGTCCCCCCAAAATTAAAGAAAATATTTAGGCGCTAGCAGATGGCATAACAGTTATGTGGCTCAACTCCCACATGGTGGACCATGGTTCAAGTCCTGGACCTGGAGGCTTTAAACTCACGCTGGGCGTGTGTGCGTGCGTGCCCAAGATGCTGAGAGGAGAATGGAGAAGGGATTGCGGTGTGGCCATCCCCCCTGGGGAGTGATTTCTCACGTGTCTCCATCTCTCTGATGAGAGCAGGCAGTGGACATCAAAAAAAACTCTCGGGAACCAGCAGTTAGCGTCATGGCTATGTCGCTGGACTCCCACGTAGTCGACCGTGGTTCGAGTCCCGGACCCGGTGGCTTAAAACTCACGCCGGGCGCGTGTGCGTGCGTGCCCAAGATGCTGAGAGGAGAATGGAGAAGGGATTGCGGTGTGGCCATCCCCCCTGGGGGGTGATTTCTCGCTTTCTGTCTGTCTCTGTCTGGCGAGCGCACAAGCCCTATAGTGAAAATCTCTCTCAAAAAAAAAAATCTCTCCAAAAATTATTTTAACTTGACAAGCAAAAGTGAGAGAGCAAGCAGCCAGGTATGGGCTCAGACTGAGGTTGGCCACGTGGGGGTCCAGCACCCTGTCCATCTCTCTATCTGCTGGCCCCCATTAGAAAAGATTTTTTTGCATTAAGATAAACTTGTATTTAATTCCATTTTCCCACGAACCTTCGAGTCCCCAGGTCTCTCTCACCAGCTTCTTCCTGTCATGACCAGGTGCAGGGGAGGTGCCACAGACACCCAAATAGGAGATCCGGTGTTTTGGTATTTTAGGCAAATTCTTCATTTTTCCAAAGGAAATAAAAAAATATTTTATTTTTTAGAGAGATTTTGCTATAGCTCGTGTGTGCTCTCTAGAAAGAGGCAGAAAGTGAAAAATTATCCCGGGGGGTGTCCATGCCACAGTCCCTTCCCCTCCTGGGATCTTGGGCACACATAAACCTGGGGAGGTTCAAGCCACTGGGCCCGGGACCTGAACTGTGCTCGACTATGTGGGAGCCCCATGACGTAACTACGCCGCCACCGACTGGCCCTAGCGGCTGATTCATTTGTATATACATGTATGTAATTGCCAAGCGTGTATACACTGGCCAGAGACAAAGCACTCCATGAAGTGTGGTCGTGCCACTCTCTTCTCACCAGGACTCAGGGCACATGCCCCTGGCTGGCACGTTGCTAAGGCCATTGGCTGGGATTCGAACCGCGGTGACTCCTGTGGGATCGGGCTTCCTTAACCTATGGCACTGTGTGAATTGTTTACAGAATCGGGCAGCCCATGGCCTGGCAGTCAAGGGAGCCCGAGCTCATGTGGCGAATGTGATCGGACCGTGGAACGTGACAGCCAGAGGCGACCTGGGCATGTGGGTGGAGAGAGGACCGGCGTGGGGACTGTGGGTGACGGTCCCTGTAGGGAACCCTGGTGAGCATGCACACCCTGTCACAGATAGACAACGTACAGAACTGAGGAGTTAAGGGCAGTGGGCCTGGCTGGGAGCTGGCTCCCACGTGGCTGGCTGCTGCTGGACCCTGGCCTTAGTGGCTTGAAAACCACACAGGGACCAGCAGTTGGTGTAATGGCTATGTCGCTGGACTCCCATGTGGTTCGATTCCCGGACGCGGCGACTTAAAATCATGCCGGGCGCGTGTGCGTGCGTGCCCAAGTTCCTGAGAGGATAATGGAGGAGAAGGGATTGCGTTATGGCCATTCCCCCTGGGGGGTGATTTCTCGCTTTCTGTCTCTCTGTCTCTTGTCTTTCCAGTGAGTGCACGTGCCCTATAGCAAACAAAAAACAAAAAAAACCCCACAAAAATACCCTCCCCCCTCCCCCCAAAAAATACCCACACTAGGTGGGTGCCCCAAGTCCCCACAGCCGGAGAAGTAGGAACTGCGGCATGACCACGCCCTGGTAGGCATGCTTGCTCAAGCTCCCTTCCTGGAGAGTGGACAGCCTCTGGCATTTAAAACAGAACAAAAGAGTGACATTACTTGCAGTCAGAAATTTGCTTTTAAGGTATCACATTTTTTCATTTAAAATTTAAGAAATTTTTTGTCACGGGGCCAGCAGGTGGCATGGGGGTTAAGGGTGCTGGACTCCCACATGGCCAGCTGTGATTCGAGTCCTGGACCTGGCAGCTTGCTTTCTCACTTTCCCTCTGTATCTCGGTCTGTCCTTCTCTGGTCAAATTAAAATAAACAAACCCATCTAAAAAAATATTAAATTTTTTGGGAACCAGCAGTTAGCGTAATGGCTATGTCA